CCCCCCCCCCCCCCCCACCTCTCCTCAGAAAAGATTTTACTACTAGTATATATATATTCATAACAGATGTCTTACTAGTACTGCCTTGTTTAACAGGACATCAAGTAAACAACAGTGCTTCATAAAATTGTGTCCCAGGGACCATTCAGAATAGTTGATCCCAGTACTAACTGATCTGCCAGCTAAATATGGCCGACCCTACTTTGAAAGCGATGCTGCTGATTCCAAAATGGTCTCCACAAGTGCCGTTAAATGAATAAAATCTCAGCTCCCGAGTTTAATTGCTAGACCCCTGCAGTGACGGCATGTGTGGAGGCGGAGAGACCACAAGGGAATTAGTGGCATTGCTTTATGTGGATCGGCCATATTAAGTCCGCTGATCTGTTAGGGCGCATTCGAATAGATTTTAGATCGATCTATCCCGATGGGAGTCTCACTATATTACTGTCAGATAATCCGGCTTAAAGGTCTGTCCCGCCTACTACAAGCTGTAAGGGGTAATTAACTTTCGTGCCCCCGCGGCTGACAGCTATTTAGCGTGAACCCCCAGGGAGTTAGGTCGATCTAGTAGGATCGATCTAAATCTCTGGGAATGCGCTCTTAGTCCGCAGATCAACTTGTTCTAAATGTGCTCTTACATTTATACCAGGCTTCCTACTGGCTTGATTAACAGGAAACCAACAAAACAATAGAGCTTCATAAAATCCTATCCCAAGTCCCACATTTTAATCCCCTCTTAAACAGTTCTTCCTGTCACCCCAGTAAGAACACCACATTATTCATAAATTTCCCAGCAACAGCAGGAAGAGCATAAATAACAGCACTGATGTTTTCTAATCAAAACTCTGCTCTGGAGGCTGATTTATACTCTCTAAACTCAGCATGAAATCACAACTATTTCAATTTTATCCTTATTTATTTGGTATTTCACCACAGGTACACTGAGCTAGTGGCTCTTAGACCCCATTCCCATTGATTTTAGATCGATCCATCCCTGTGAGGAGTCTCACTAGATTACTGTCAGCTTAGCCGGCTTAAGCGTCTGTCCCGCCTACTAAAAGCTGTAAGGGGGTAATTAACTATGGTGTACGCTTGGCTGACTGCAATTTAGCGTGAACCCCCAGGGAGTTAGGTAGATCTAAATCTAAATCTCTGGATCGATCTAAATCTCTGGGAATGCACCCTTACTTGTATGGACATGGAGTCAGAATGTATGAAATGGTGATAGTCTGAATTCTTACATTCTGAACAGATAATGTAGTGTCATTTTACCAGCACTACATATTCCTGTAATTATAATACATGTATCTGCAAAATTTAATCATTATGTTTTAGAATTTAAGAATTTGTAATAAATTTGATTTGAATATATCATATTTAATGAAAAAATTACAAATTACAAACTTCTGTGCATACAGTTTTTTCCTAAGCTATCAAAAAGAAGTTTGGCCAGTAAAACTAAATTCTCTAAGTATGCTGATGATACTGAGCACTATTTCTCTCTATCACTCAGTCAGGTTCTAAGACCCTAACTTAGTTGCTTGAAGGGCCGTTCTAAGACCCTAGTAGTAGCTTGAAGGGCTCTCAGACGGCTTTTAATTTTCTGACATCGACTTCTGTGCATAAGTCTTTTTTTCCTAAGCTATAGAAAACATGTTAGTTGCTCCACGTAAGCTGGTACTTACAAGATCACACCATTGTATTGTACCTGTGACGACCTCAATAGCAGAGAGTCTTACCTGTGCTTATTACCTGAGCGAGATAATCAAACTGCTGATACGTGACTGGAGATTGTCTTCAACTGTGAAAAACT